GCAAAGTTCAGAGATGCTGGCTGGAGAAGCAGCCCTGGAATGCTATAAGCTGAGGATGATGGGAAGTTCTAGTGAGAACACAGAAGACCAGAATGTTGCCAGTGATGCAGCTGGTAAAAGCAAGCATCAGGAGGTTTCAGCTTGGGAGGACTCCACTGGTAGTTGGACTCCAGACCATGTGTATAGTGCTCTGGTGGAAAATTTGTCTACATCTAACTCACATCCTAAGATTTTTCAGGAAACTGAGGTTAAAAGCTGCAGCCTAATCTGTCAGAAGAAATTTCAAAGCAGTCCAGTGTTCCGACTGTAGCATGGATATTATTTGATGCTTTGAGCCTGATTTGAACTTAAAATCAGAAACAACAACAACAAAAACACTTTAAAAACAAAAAGTTTTCATTTCCTCCAGAAAGGAAGGGTCTATAAAAATGTGCCAGAGGAGACCTTTATTGATGAAAGATGCCAATAAGGAGAAGCCAACTACACTACAATAGGACAATAGGAAAAATGGCATTTTAGGGCACCACAGGCTCACATTGTAAAAGTGATGGATTGTTTAGACAGGAGAGCCACAGGGGACCCTGCACAAGAATACACCTAGGGAATTTGGAGATACAGTTCACAGTTCTCAGGCATCCAGGTACTCAGAAGTTCTAGCAGTCATGATGCAAAAGGGTTAGCCTCCAGCTAGAGGTGGTGGCAGATGTTTGCCATCCACCTGACTCTGGACATATGCAAATGCAGAGACAACCTGGGAGACCAGGCAGCATGCCCCTGAGAGAACAGTGCATGAATCTATAAGGCTGAAGCCAAAAGTGCAGTGTAGTGGAGGCCCCAGGAAGCTGGAGGAGCCAAGAATGTGGAACATCCAAGGAAAGTCACAAGGAGTGAGTAAAACCTGTCCAAAAGAAAATTGAAAACTGAAATCACCAGCAATGCCATATAGGGAGGGGCTGCCCAAATTCTTTGAGGTTCATGCCTTCCCACAACTTGCCCCAGGTTCTGAGCATGGAACTATGGGATTCGCCTCCCTACCTTTGGTCATGCTTTGGTCCCATTTCTTTCTGTCCTACTATTCATTCCTTCTGGAGAAAGGGATTCACATGAGTCTTATGGGGTCAGAGACAGAATGTCATGGTTTGTATCTTGATGTCCCCAGGATCATGATCCTTCCACACTCATAAGTGGGGACTCTGGAAAGTGATGGGATTATGGGGGCTTACAGTTGACCCGCCATTAGGAGGTAGGGTCCAGTGAGAAGCAGCAGTTATGGGGTGTGGCATGGAAAGATCCATTGCCCTCCCTGCACCCGTGTTCCTCTCTGCTTCTCAGTCACCATGCCCTGAGCAGCCATTCCTCTGTGATTCCCTCTGCCAAGCTACCCTGCCTTGGGGCCAGTGGATTATGGATTGGAAGCTCTACAAACTGCGAGCTAAAATAAACCGTCCCTCCTTTTATTTGCTAGTGTTTCCAGCAATGAAGAAAGTAACTAAGATGGCCTTAACCCAGTAAGACCAGTGTCTTTATATAAAAGAAAAAATTTGGACACACAGAGACACAAATAGAAGACCCTGTAACACTGGAAAGTGGGAGGGCCACATCCACAAGCCAAGGACACCAGAGAGCACCGACAGCGCTGCAGAATCCGAGGCGGCCCAGGACAGAGTACTCACCGTGGCCCCTGAAGGGACGTGCCCTGCTGACACCAAAATTTCAGGCCAACTGTGAGACAGCAAATCTCTGTCTTTTCAGGCTGTCCATCCGGTGGGGCTGTGTTCAGGCCGCTCTGACATACTTAGTGGGAGGTAACGTAGTGGTCGCCCCAGAGAGAAGGAATGGGTCAGTGACAGGAACAGAACAAGAAACCGGCCATGCGCCTGGCAGCCTGAGGCTGTGTGTGCTCACTCTGCTATAATTCACTTATTTTTACATATGTATTATATTTCAGTGAAAGCTGTTTGTAAATTCATGAAGACAAAAGTGAAGTGCTATGTAGCAAGTGGAAGGAGCCCAGGGAACGGCAGAATCTGGGAATCTATCCAAAGCCTTGACCGTGTTACCCTCCCAGAGTCCTTTCCTAGATGTCCCTTTGAAGGCTCACAGCCCACAGAGCCACAGGGGTCCATGCAGGTGCCTCTCCCTGGGCGGGAGCCCTCTTCACAGAAGAACAAGCACGGGGTGGGGAGGGAGGACCTGAGCCATCCAGCTGCTGGCCACTCAGGCGGGAACGGCGAGGGCGGCCCTGGCGGGGTCTTGTCCTATCAGTGGATTTTGACAGGCAGGCACCCGCTCTTGCTATTTCCTGTCTTCTGGCTGCCCGCTCGTGAAGGGGTGTGTCTGCTGGAACCAGGGGTTGGTTCCTGCACTTCTTGATCTCTTCCACGGTAGGAGCTCTCTTCTGTCTTCTCATCTACATTTTTATTGTAAGTCCTCAGATGAGATGAGCAGGGCTGGCCATTTAGCTCAGCAGACTAAAGTGCCTGCTTAGGCAGAGGGCAGTGGCCAGGATCCATCCCCAGCTTGCCGTCCTGGCCCCACCCCCAGGGTGTGCTGAGAAGGTGATTGAGACTTGAGTGTGGTGCTGCGCGCCTGTAATCCCAGCACTTGGGAGGCTGAAAACAGGAGAATCACTACAAGTCTGATCTACATAGTGAGACCCTGTACACCCTGTACTAAATACACTTCAAAAAAAAGAAGAAGAACCTCAGATGAGATGGTCTGAGGAACACTGGAGCCAGCAGCGCAGTCTTCATTAGAATTTATCAGCATGGCCCTGGGCAGCGCAGGCCACATGCCTTCCTCAGGGCCTCTTCCCAGTCCCTCTTGCCATTATCTGTCTTTAATTGGACCTCTGTCAGAGAGGAAAGAGAGACCCTGTCTTAGTTACTTTTCACTCGTTGCTGGGACAAATACCCGACACTCAAAATGAAGGAAAGAAAGGTTTATTTAGCTCACAGTTACTGGAGGGTTCAGTCCATATTCCGCGGCAGCTGCTGCGGCGTCCATCAAGCCTCTCTCTCCCTTCTGCGCTGACTGCAAAGATCGGAGCTCCACAGTGAAGATCGGAGCTCCTCCAGAGTGGCGCGGCCGCAAAGATCAAGCTCCTCCGAAGACTGGGACTTCTCCACCGAAGCAGGGCGGGCGGCAGGAAACCAGGCAGGGCCGCTTCCTGCCTCTCTCAATTCCTGGGCGCTGCCCACCTGCAGGGTTAGGCCCCCACGCTGAGAGCTGCTGGAGCTGATTCAGCCAAGTTGACACAATGTATCAACTAACACAGACGCCATTGAATTTCCTTCCACCATCCACCGTGATATTTCTAAGGAATGGACTTCTGTCCTCCAGATGGCCCTGGGAGGGCGCGTCTCCTTGGTATTAAACCTGTAATAATTCCATTTGAAACTGGAGTCAGCATTAATTGGATCACAGGCTACCCGGAGCCACTCTTGTGGCCTGCGTCCAGAGCTGGCTCCCTCTGAAGAGGAGGCCCCGATTCTGAGGCAGCAGAATGATGAGGGGCTTGAATGAGATTTCGGAGAAGATTCGAAGTCATTTTTTAAATGTCTGCCAACTCGCCGGCTGTTCTTGTTTCCTTCTTTGAGTTTGTGCTCTTGGGTGGCAATGCAGCACCAGTGACGTCATCTGCCTCTCCAAGGCGAGGCCATTTATTGTCCAGTCTCCACTGGTCTTGCTTCCTTGCGGGGCCCAGGGAGAAGCCCCAAGGCCCCAGAGCTGTGCGCTGCTCCAGAGCCACGCAGCCCACTGCCAGAGCCTCAGTGGTTCTGCTTCCTGGGCCTTGGCTCTCTCTGCTGAGCCATCTGGCCTGGTGATGATGCCAACTGCACCTGAGGGATGGCAGGGCTGGTGCTGGAGGCTCCCATGTGCTGCACTCGCAGTCCCAGGGCCCACAGAGAGCTGGCTTTCTCACCTGCCCCTGAAACAGTGAGCACACGGCCAGCACAGGTGTGCACAGCGCACAGCCTCAGGTCCACAGACTCGGCAGGACGCCATGTGGGAAGCCAGGCTCCAGCCACGGCCTGAGGACAGTGCAGAGGCAGGGCTGAGAGCCTGCATATTGGCTCTCTGGAGGCTGTGGGGCTGACCCTCTGTGGAGCTTCCCTCCATGCTCACAGTCCTTCTCTGGAGCGTGCCCTGCTCCAGAGCCACGCGTCATGCGCACCGCGGTCTCAGTGCCGCATCCTGCACGCTGCGGTCTCAGTGCCGCGTGCTGCGCGCCGCGGTCTCAGGGCCGCGTCCTGTGCGCTGCGGTCTCAGTGCCGCGCTGGAGAAACTTTCAGTACAGAAGGTGACAAGGCAGCTGCAGATGGTGCCCAAAGGGACTCGGGAGCTGCGGCAGTGCTCTGAGATGCACTGCCCTGGGGGTCACAGGGTGCAGGGCAGGGGCCGGCTGAGGCAGGCCACTGTCCTGGTACCTCTGGGGACAAACTTGAATGCATGCATACTCACCTAGGTGCCACCTCTGTCGGCAACACGGACAGGAGTGTTAGGGATAGACGCAGGGTACACGTAGTGGGGATGAGTATACTCCAGATGGTCCGACCCAGGGTTGAAGGCTTTGGGTGATTTCCAGTTTTTTCTTTGTGCATCATCTGAACACCGTACCTCTGTAGAGAACAAAAGTCTTACCGACTTTTCGTGAAAATGAAGTGGGAGACGTGTGGACTGCACACAAACAAACACATGATGACCCTGAGGTGCGCCCAACTCCTGTGGGGGCGCTCTCAGGACAGCAGCCGCACACACAGCTCATGGCTGCAGGCTGGCATCTGTCCGCTCAAGGGGGAGCTCCGGCGCCGCCCACATTGTCGGGGAGTGATGCAATGACTGTGTGAGTCCCTGGAGTGTTGATGTGGACACTGGGTTGTGACTGATGAGCTGCGCTTGCTTATTTCATCTCGCTAGGTGCGTGTCACGCACTACCTGCTGGTCACACATAAGGAGCCTAACTGAGCGTTCTTTCCCCTTCATTCTCTGCTTCACAGCTCCATTCGTCCCAAATAAAGATGAAGACAGCATTGTCAAGTTTGACACTTTTGGAGATGGAATGGGGCGATACAACGTGTTCAATTTCCAGGACACGGGTGGCAAGTACTCCTACCTGAAGGTGGGCCACTGGGCAGAAACCCTGTCCCTGGATGTCGACGCCATCCGCTGGGCCCAGGACGCAGTCCCCACGTCCCAGTGCAGCGACCCCTGTGCGCCCAATGAGATGAAGAGCATGCAGCCCGGCGACGTCTGCTGCTGGATCTGCATTCCCTGCGAGGCCTACGAGTACCTGGTGGACGAGTTCACCTGCATGGACTGCGGGCCTGGGCGCTGGCCCACAGCCGACCTGGCGGGGTGCTTCGACCTTCCTGAGGACTATATCAGGTGGGAAGATGCCTGGGCCATTGGGCCCGTGACGGTCGCTTGCCTGGGCTTCATGTGCACCTGCGTAGTCATCACTGTGTTCATCAAGCACAACAACACACCCCTGGTCAAAGCCTCGGGCCGGGAGCTCTGCTACATCCTGCTGTTTGGGGTCGGCCTGTCCTACGGCATGACCTTCTTCTTCATCGCCAAGCCGTCGCCTGTCATCTGCGCACTGCGCCGGCTGGGGCTGGGGACCTCCTTTGCCATCTGCTACTCAGCCCTGCTGACCAAGACGAACTGCATTGCCCGCATCTTCGACGGGGTCAAGAACGGTGCGCAAAGGCCCAAGTTCATCAGCCCCGGCTCCCAGGTCTTCATCTGCCTGGGCCTCATCCTGGTGCAGGTCGTGGTAGTGTCCGTGTGGCTGGTCCTGGAGGCCCCTGGCACCCGGAGGTACACACTCCCCGAGAAGCGTGAGACCGTCATCCTGAAGTGCAATGTCCGCGACTCCAGCATGCTGATCTCGCTGGCCTACGACGTGGTCCTGGTGGTCCTGTGCACGGTCTATGCCTTCAAGACCAGGAAGTGCCCCGAGAACTTCAACGAGGCCAAGTTCATTGGCTTCACCATGTACACGACCTGCATCATCTGGCTGGCCTTCCTGCCCATCTTCTACGTGACGTCCAGCGACTACAGAGTGAGTGCCTGCTGCGTTCTCCTTTTCTTTGTCCTGACCGGGTTCGGCTTTCTCTGTTCTCTGTCTCGTGTCCTGTCAGTGTTGTGTTGTGTCTGATTTATGGTGGGCCCCTTTTATTTCATGTCCAAGCAAACTCAGTAATTACAAATGCCACAATGAGCCTCAATATTATGTGTAAAATTTAACTCAGTATGTTTTTAAAAACATTTAACCAGCACCTGCTTCGTGTAGATCACTAAGCTGGGCACAGTGGCAACGACAAATGTTTTCACATTAATTCTGCTTTCAGTATCCAACAATGAGTGGTATAAGAATTTTCTTCTCAGGCACTTGGTTTTCATTCTCTGTATTTCTCGTTCTTTTGTTATGTATTTAGTACGGGGTCTCACTACACAGATCAGACTCCTAGTGATCCTCCAGTTTTCAACCCCCCAAGTGCTGGGATTGCAGGTGCACACCACCACGCCCAGTCTTGGGAGCGGGGCTAGCATGGCCCCAGGGGGATCAAAGCCCAGGTGCTGAGCTTTCTATCCAGCCCAGTTCTCAATATTTCTGAGGTCACCACAGATTGAAGTTGCCTCCAGGCAATGCGCAGCCTGCTGTTATCCTGTGATTTCACTGGATGAACTGCCCCATGTGCTGTCCTAAGCCCTTCATCTTCTACGTACTAGAATCTAGGAAACTGCTCCCGGGGAGGGTGCCACAGCTAGAAGGCTTCAGTTTGATGGGGAAGAGAAAGCTCGCAGTGCCTTGGGGATGCCGCGGTCACTGGCAGCGGAGGTCAAGGCTCTCGCCTCGAAAGCAGAAATGCGGGGTAACACGGATGGTGGGCAACTCCACTTGGCTTTTCTAAGTCATATTCCTCTTTCAGAACATCAAGTTAGGCATGGTATACAGTTTCTGTCAGTTAAAATTGACTTAATTTTCAAAGTGTTTCCAGTCCACGTCTGCAGTGCACAGCGATCCTTCATGAGAGAGCCATGCGCGGGGCATCGTCCCATCCCCCCGCCCTTTCCTTCTCCTGGCGCCCTGCCCAGGCCCAAAGGACCCAGCCCCTGTGTGCTGTTATCTACTGTTTGCTCTTTAATTCTTTGAAAATGACTCCTCACTTTGTCCACTCGATAGAGCAGCTAACAGGCTTAGCAGAAGACAGCAGATCCCCAACCCCAGGCAGAAGTCACAGGCTCGTCTCACTCCATGCTGGTATCACCCATCCTGAATCGACTAGAAGCAGGCTGCAGCCTCCACGTGGGGCTTCTCACTCCCTCAGGGGAGCCGCGCATCCCAGACCCAGCTCCCGCGATTCCTGCTGACTTGCTGCCCTGCAGTATGGATGCGGGATCTTCAGAGCCAGGGCTGAAGCCAGACCAGCAGGCAGGGCCCAGCTCACACTGCCTCAAAACATTCGTCAAAGCTAGAATACTGACAAATTTTAGCAAAAGAGATTTATATTCCTAACTTTTCTTATCAAAGTAACACACAACACATGGGCCCAAATCCCTGCATATAGAAGTCAGCAGCACCTAAGCAGCGCTGCCCAGGGCGGAGCACTCCTGCATGCACACCGCTGCCGCCTGTGCCCCTTCCATGCCTCACCAACCTCCCAGACCCTGTGAGCATTAGTGCAGGAAACCGTCACTCTGGAACTCTAGAGCAAGACAGATTACAATTTTCCCAGAGGGCAACAGGAGTCCAAAGAGGATCTGCAGCACTAGAAAAGCCTCCAGTATTCTAAGGACAACCGGGAAGAATTTGAGCACCAATTGGAAGGCTTACATCCAGTGCTTGGACCATTTGCAGTGACTTAGAAAATATAAATTTTATATTTTATATAAATACAAAACTTCTCCAGTCTTCAGAAGGCTTATACCCCAGCTTGGGAGTATCCCTTGGTGAAGGCACAAGTAGGTCATCAGGGAATCAAGAAAATCCGAGATGGAACAGGAACTACCTCCAGAGGCAGTTGCTACGGCTGTGTCTCACCACGCCCCAAAGCCTCACACAGTCGCTGGCTGGCTTCTGCAGAGGAGGCTGCGTCTACAGTGTGAGATGCTGGGATGGGTGCATGGTGCATGTAGGGTTAGGGGCACTGGATGAAGGGTGTGGGTGTTGCCTGCCCTGTGAAGCCTGGATAAGGGTGCAGGACAGAACCGTGGCTGCCCTTGCTGCATGCAGCCTTCTTCACCATGAGCTGTTTCTCCGTTGCAACACCCAGAGCCAACTGGTTACAGGCGGAAGCCTCTGCAAACAGTGAGCTAAACAAGCCTCTCCTTCTTTAATTCTGAGTGCTGGAGATTTTCTCTCAACAGTGAGAAAAGTAACTAAGACACAGTCACACTGGTCGCACCCAGTCGGAAGCTGGACTGGGGCGAGGGCCACAAGGATGAAGGGAAGTTAGCAGCTTGACCAGAGCACAGCAGGAAAGGAGTCACTGAGTCTGGAGATTTGTCAGTTAGTGAAGTTAGCTTTGTTGTTGTTTGGTTGCTTAAGCAAAGAGCAACATGTTGAAAGACAAAAAGGAAAGGGAGGAACACCTCCCACACCTTGCTCTGCCGGTGCTTTGCATGCTGAGCCCCCTCGGCCTCATTAAAACTCTGAAAGCAATTCTGTATCTATCCAAGACGTGGGTGAGCAGATGTGCGGAAAACTACCTTCCCGAGTGGCACCGTCATGAAACACTAGGAGTTCATCTTTTATTCAAATCCATGCCCTCAACACTATGAAGAGCCACCTGTCCCTAGCAGGAAGGGTGGGTTTCTAGAGGTCCAGCAAGGAGAACTGCTTGAGCCTACAGCTAGCATCCAAGACAGAGAAAGAACTTGAGTAAGAACTCAAAACTTCAAAGCATCTTTGAGAAATCACCCAGGACTTCTCCTGTGCTATCACCACCAACGCTTCTTGGGGAGCTTAAGAATGAACCCCTGAGCCATCTGGATCAGCACAGACTCCAGATTGTGCTGCTCAAATCGTGGTTGCTACCCATGGAGGACCTCGCCAGCACTAGGTAGTGCTGTGGGCATCAGGGTCTTCCAAACATGCTCGAGCACTTAGAGAGCTGGAGGCAGAGCTGTCAGCAGGCAAGGGCCCTCCTCTGGTGACGAAGTGGTGGGAGGAGAGGGTAAGGGATGGGGAGACATTCCCAACCAGCTGGTCTGTTGCATATCTGTTCCAGCCACCCTTAGAGCCAGTGAGACCTTGGTCCTAATCCTGAGGGCCTTTCTCCTAACGTGGCTTTCCACGCTGTGCACTCAGGGACTGCTGTATCACCTGACCAAGGGCCACAGCTTTGTGCTCCCAAGCTTGGTGTGCATGCGAGGGTCATCATGACTCACATTTCAACTCAGGCAATCCACTGACTCTGCACCCAGTGCCTTCCGGGTGGTCTCAGCCTGACCCACAAAGCATGGCCGCATGAATCCAGAACGTCCGCCATGTCTCTTTGTCCCTGTTTTAATATAAAGGCGAAGGTGGTTTCCTGCACTGTGCTCAGTGGCAAGGGTCTATCCACATTCCTTAACATTGGTTGCTCCCGCTGTAACAGCACCTGGGTTGTCACTGTCAACCCAGCCCCAGCGAGTAAGAGTCCACAGTCCCCTGGTTGGGGCATCTTGGAGGGTGGACGTAAGCAGCAGGGATGGCAGCAGAGGAGGCCAGGCTGTGCCCTTCTTCTGCCTGTGCTATCTGGACCCCTGGGCCCACCTTCCTGACATCCCTTGCGGGGCTCCCCCCACAGCACCCTCAGAAGAGAGGTGAGGATGGCCAACGCACGCCCCCACCTGACCTGCCCCTCCTGCTGATCCCCAGCCAACCCCCTCAGGTCTGCATGTGAACTATTAATTCTCAGACTTTCTGCAAGCCCTGTATGCATCCCTGGGGCCTCTTTAAGAATAAAGGAGGCCACACTCGGTGCCAGATCTGCCAGGCCACAGTGCTTGAGACTTTCCCTGGAAGGTGACGAGTCAGCCTGCCCAGTTCTCCGGAGGCTGACAAGGCTCTGTGGCTCAGCAGCTGCAGCAGCTGTGCCCGAGCTCCTCAGGGCAGGACGTCTCCCCTCTGAAGCTTTCTGCTGTATCCGAAAAGGAAGTAAGAACACAGCCAGCTGAGCCCCGAGGGGCCCGCAGAGCATCAGCCCCACAGGGTGGCGCCGGGCGGGCGCTCAGGACGTGGGCCTGATCTGGTGGGCATCACTTGTTCACACAGGAGGACATCTGTTGAAGGAGGCCAAGTTTTGCTCCATCCTAGTACCATTTATGTAACCTGTTAGTGCTTGGCCACGCCCAGGCCCCAAGCACACTCCCAGGGGCAGGTGCGACCCCGGGTGTGAAGCGCACAGGAGGCACCACAAGGCACTGCGGTCAGCACAGAGACACTTAGGCCTTGGACAGGCAGCCCAGACCTGTGCGCCCCTGGTAGCGAGGCCCACAGTCACTTCCTGGTAGGAGCCCTGGCACACTGCGGTGCCCCCTCCTGTGTCCTCAGCCCTGACGGAGCTGACCAGAAGAAAGCAGGGCAGCGTGGCCGGGCGGCTCTGTGGTCTCCAAGTCTGTGGCAGCAGAGGAAGGTGCCCGGGGCGTAGGCCAGGAGTCTCCTGCTGCTCTCTAGACTTCCCCAGCTGTTCCCAGTGACTGGCCCTGTAGTGCTCTAGTCTGAGCTGTCACTTGGGGCTTCCTGTTCCATCCAATAGAATATCCTGTGCCCCACCCCAGCTCTCTGCAAAGCCTCCACCCTCCCCAGTAGCCCTTGGCCGAGCCCGGATGACCCCCACATGGCCCACCACTTCCTTTTCTGTCGGTTCTCAGGGGACCCGCGAAGAGCAGCATCTCTGTGCGGCACATGTATCTCTTTTCACACCAGGTTTCCAGGGCAGCGCCAGAACTGCCTCCCCACCCCTGGAACCCTCACCTGGGGCCACTGACCCTTTCTGAGGATGGCCCCATGGAGGCTGTGCTTGGGGCTCTCGGGAGCAGAGGTCACAGTGCTGAAACTCTCCTTCCTCTCCTCGGCATGGGTTTGGGTGCAAGAAGTGCTGACAAGGTACAGAACTGCTTAGACCAGGGTTCCATGAAAATTCCTCTCGCCCACTGTGAGTGGTGCCAGTCACGTTGGCCCCACAGTGGAGACCGAGGCAGGAAGGGGTGGAGTTTGCCACCATCTCCCACACACCTGTGAAGCACAAGTTGCACCAGGCTGGCCGCAGCTCTCAGAGGCCAGAGCCAGGCAGAGTGGCCTATTTGCCTAGGAGTTGGCCAACGGGGCAGAGGAGTCTCTTCCTCACAGGGGTGGGGGTTGGGGTGGAGGATATGCAAGGACAGAGAACTCAATGGACAGGGTTAGCTTCTGCCTTCAGCATTTAAAATGAAACTGGGATCTCAGTAACTACACCAAATGTATAGAGCAGATTTATTTCTATCAAAAGTAGCATGAGGCCTCCTAAAGTTACAAAGTCTCATCAGTTACTGTTCAGACTTAGGCTTTCTCTGACCAGAGGCTGGCAGGGACATGATGGCAGCCTTTGGGGGCTGGAGCTACTAGGGCCAGGGTCTGCACAGGAGGCACTCCCGTCAGGGTCATTGTTCAGCACCGATGCGAGAAGAGTGGAGTCTGACATGCAGTTTCCTAGCAAATCACTAGCAGCCAAAGCAGGCAAGTGACAGAGTCAGAGAAGACAGGACGAGAGCCGCAAAGCTGCAGGTGTCAAGCCTCCGCTCGGGGGCTACTTCCTGCCAAGGCAAGGGGGGGGGGTGAGAAAAGATGTGGAAGCCCAGAGGACCAGAGAACCCATGGAATGGCCAAACCAATACATCGGAATTTCAGAGAAACGTGGACACGGAACATGTGCCACAGAGCAGAGCCACACCAACTAGTTTCTGGTGCTGCAATACTGATGGGGAAGGTGGCAGCCAGCAGGCGGGTGCCTGGCAGGAAAGGAAGGTGGGGAACGCTAACAGCCTAGGTTTGTCCATCGTACGGTGAGCCGCAAACAAGCTAAACTCATGTACCCACCAAACCACCAGCGATGTACCACTTAGCCACAGAATATTTACGTTTTGCTACCTACCGCTCTGACCTCAGCGGTTCATCACGAATGCCTTTATACAAATACGAGGAAACGAAGTGAGAACACCCACGTGGCTGCTCGGCAGCCGCACAGGCCACATTCGCTGAGAAATCTAAGCAGCCCCTCCGACATAATTCCAGCTGGCTGGCTAGCCGTGACTAGCCCAGCCTCTCCTGCTCCCTTTCTGTGCCCCTCACTGACTGGCTTCTTGAAGGGCACTGACTGGGTCATCTTTTCTCCTGTAGGTGCAGACGACAACCATGTGTATCTCCGTGAGCCTGAGCGGCTTCGTGGTCTTGGGCTGTCTGTTTGCCCCCAAGGTGCACATCGTGCTGTTCCAGCCCCAGAAGAACGTGGTCACCCACCGGCTGCACCTCAACAGGTTCAGCGTCAGTGGAGCTGGGACCACGTACTCGCAGGGTGAGTTCAGGCTCAGAGCAACACCTGTGTGCCGAGGGCCATGCTCAGTAACATTCTACTGCCTGCCGGGTCCTGGGCTAGGTGCCGGGGCACCGTGGTGAGCAGGGCAGTGGCTGCTGTGCTGTGTCCGGCCCAGCGGGCAGGAAATGGTGCCACCCCTGCAGTGATGGGTCCAAGGGGCTGACATGGAATTCACAGTCCACAGCCCCAGTTCAAAGCCCGAGATCCTGCTTCGGCATCATGTGCCTCTCCCAGGAAGCAAGCTGGGAGAGTCCCGTGATGCTCAGCTCGTGGTGGGCCCCACGGGGTCAAAGGGAAGGGCTGCAGGACAGATGCAGCCAGTTACAGCTGGGCTCCAGGGACCCCAAGAGCAGTGGGGAACTAGAACAACTTCACAGCACCCCTAAGTCTCCCTGGGCATCACTCAGAATCTCAGCCCCAGCCCCCAGGACTGCGTAAGGGGCAGCTTTTCTAGTCCATAAACTGGGAATTAAGAAATTCTTGAAGGTAGAACCAGGACACTGCACCTGGTCAAGTTTCCCCTCAGAAATATCCATTTGCAAGAAAACAGTGTGCTGTGGTCACAGGGGACCTGCTCAGCTGATAAGGACCAGGCAGCCCTGAAGGGAGGTGCCTGTCAGCCAGCACTTGGGGAACACTTTCCTGCCCAGCGAAACTTTAAATGCTTTTTTCTTTAAAGGCCTAAATTCAGACCTTATTGTTTTAGCAAGACTACTTTAATTAAACCAAATCAATAAAGTAGTATTATGAAACAAAGTGAAGACTTTATACAATAGCTCCATGCATTTAAGAGGGTATCCATAACATGGACCATCTGTCATTTGTGGTTCTGCGTCTTTTATTCAATGTAGTCTTACCTTTGTGGGCTTGTCCTTGTGAGCACCAGCCACCACCAGTCGGTCTTTTTAGGTAAAAACACTGAGAACTGAAGGTGGTTCTCAAGATTTCAGGGACTGAAGAATTAGCAGTTGACCTGGGATTTCCAGATCTCAGTTAAAACCTCTCCCGTTTTAATAATCTGGAGCTGCCATGGTGAGTCATTCGTTTGTCCGGCGCTTGAGTCTCTCCTGCCTTCCAGAGGGTTCTAGGCACTGAGCACGCAGCAAAGGCTGCGAAGGAGCCCTGGGCCCTGGAGCCTCCTGCCTGCAGCGCTTTGCGTCCTGGAATGGAGCCTACTCAAGGACCACGAGCTCAGGGCTCACCCAGCGTTTCCATCTCCCTCCCAGACGAGCAAGGACACTGTTTGACAAACCAAGAAATGTCCTTAAGGTTCCGCATTCAAGTGCAGAGCAGTATTCTACTGCAGTTTACCCAGAAAGATCCGTAATGACAGTTTGGAAGTCCACAAATTCGGCAAACTACAGATTAAAAATATTTGAAAAATGCATCTGTATTGAATGCACGTCTGTGTTGCTGTCTATGTGGTGCCCACATGGCTCTAGCTATTGCAGTGCCCTAGAGATGACTCACAGGGCCGAGTGGGTGAGACAGGTTGCCCACAATCACTTCACCCCTCAGGAGAAGGCTCAGGCATGGTGCAGCCCTGTGGCCAACCCTGTACAGGCAACAGAGAGGAAGGTAACTCCCGCTCTGCCGGGAAGCTTCCTGCTAGCCGGCAGCCCCCTCCATGATTGCTGCCAGATGTTAGTGCTGGCTTGGGGCTTATTCTCACCAGAGGTAAAAGCAAGGAACTCCTGCAGAGCTGAGAGTCCGCACAACAGCGGGCCATGGCCTCCCCACCACACACCTCACCTGTTCCTGCACCACACACTCCTCCACAGAGCAATGATCTCTCCTGGCTTTATGGGTCAAGAATTCACCCACCTCACAAGGCCAGGCCTTTCTGGCCTTCCCTCCACGGTTTCCTGCTGAGGCCCAGCTGCCCTGAGCTTCCAGTCGGCTTCTCTTACTCCCGATCCTTGGGGGAGGCTTCTCCACAGGGCTCCCAGAGAGCAGCTCCACAGAAAGGGGAACATGGCCTGGCCTGGAGCTGGCACCGAGGGACAGGGTGCTGGAGATGACATGTTTATCCATCATGGTCAGGACTGAGCCTGCCTGAATTCCCGGGAAGACACAGACCCACCTCCCCACCCCCAGGACCCAGGCCGTTTCCACTAAGCTTCCCTCCACATCCTGGATTTGTCGACAATATTACTTCCTGCCTAGTCTGCACAGATGAGAGCGCAGCAGTTTGGACCCTGTAAGCTTCTCAACAGCAGCTGAGGAAGCTGGAGGTAAAGGTTCTGGTGCTGGTTCCTGAGCTGAGACGTTTCCCCAGAAAGATAGGAAAACGCAGGCAAAACTCAAAAGCTGACACAGAAGGCAGAGCACGGTTGGGGCATCCTGGGAAACTCGCCAGTTGAGAATGTTTTTACTGCTCCATGCAGAAGAACAGTTCAAGCTGCACATGATTAATTAGTGCAGAGGAAGTCAGAAGAAAAATAAAACTTGAACCTCCTCCATTAATTATCCACATAGGTCCAGGCTCTCCAAGTAACTGTGTACAAAAACCCTCACACCTGGAGAGCTGAATTCTGGGTCTGAGGCTGAGGACAGAGCCCCGGTCTGTACCAGGCAGTGCAGCCAGCTCCGCCGAAGCGGCCCAGGACAAAAGCACGCTTAAGTCTTCAGGGAACCAGGATGCCAGCACCCTCAGGCTGGTGCTGGGAGGCGCAAGATGACCTTCAGGAGGAAGGATCCAAAGAGGTATGGTGTCTCCCACACAACCACATTCCCACATTCCCTGTGGAGGCCTGAGGCATCCCCAGGACAGAGTCACCCCGCCCCCAAGGAAATGTTTGCCAACAGTGACCACCTCCTCCCAGGCAAAGTGACTCAAGACCCCACCCTGCACCCGTCTGCAGGGCTTCTCCCCCCAACATATAAGCAAATATCTTTTTATTTGGATGAAAAAGAAAAGACCTCACTCTGCACTTCATTCTCCTTAGAAGCAAAAGGGCTTCTCAGAGCCATTCCTAAAGCCAGGAAGATGAGAGTGCATGACAGGCCTGTCATGGGCCACTGAGCTGGAAGAAGTCACGTGGAGGGCCGTGGTGGAGCGTGGCAGAAGCCCCCCTGTGGCTGTGCAGGCCCGAAGGAAGGCTTGGACGTGGGCTTCCACCAGGGAGAAGGGTGCAGGGTGACAAGTTCCCTGCTGGGTTTGGAGCTGTCGTGGACCCCAGACTTGGCCCCGTGGCCCGGGCTTCTCTTCCCTGTGGTGCTCACTTAGACCCCCGCCAGGCATGAGCAGCACCATGAGCCAAGGCTCTGCTGGGCTGGACGCCCACCCCTGGCCCCTGAGCAGCTGCAGGAGGATGGAGACCGGCTTGCCTGGCACAC